TGATACACTTTTGTCGCTTGCTGAGAAAAAAAAGAAAAGCAGCGGGCTGTCGCCGCGCGCGAACCCCTCATACGCCCCTTCATTTGCAGCGAACAAAACTGTGCGTTATATGATTTTTGAAGTTCACTTATCACTCATCTGTACTCACTATTTCTAAAGGCACCTACATCTTTCGGATATCACTGATATGAATTTTTTATCTCTTATGTCCTCTACCTTACAAGACTTCCTCTGCAAATCTTCTTTACAGATGGGTCGTTTCACAGGCCTCAGATGTGCTATCCTAGTCGGCGGAGATGCTATTGAGGATCAATTCTCTTGCATTCATGAGAATCCTGACATGTGAGTTCATAAGATGTTAAGGGTAGAGGCATTTTAGTTGAGAAGTGCTGTTATTCTTCCACACTAGCCATTAGTTTTACACTGGGTTCGACATTTTTCGGTGCGAGATTCTGCTTAGTAGCGCTCAAGCTATCGAAAAGAGCCATCATGGAACTTTGATAGATAGCTACTACTTGTTACTGCAACGCGAAACTTTGAGTAAAGTTAGCTCAGGGGTTCTGGCAACTTGAGCATTCTCAAGTGTCAGTGTTTTGGGTCCACATTTGATGTTTGTCACAGTTTGGCTTGGTGGAGGCATTTTGCTGGTTCCTGTCAATCACCATCGATGTCTGTAAATCCATGTCCCGCTATGCAATAGCAGGAGCTTCGTTAGCATTTGACAAGGCTTCACAAGTATCGCCGAGGCGTGACGTGTAATTCTACATCAACTTGGAAGAGAGACTAAGGGAAATGTAGAATGCCCCTCCTAAGCATAGCGCCTTTTCCTAGCATTTATTCTGTTTGGTTTTCGTACCATTCTATTCTGACGAGGAATTATTGCTTTGAAGATTGATCGCAACTCCTGGTCGACTTCTTCATGTCATAGTCGAGATGGATCTGCGGCTGAGCTCTGTACAGTACGTAGTGTTTGATGAGGTGACGCGTATTTGAATGGGATTACCAAGATTCAATTAACGGTATGGGAGTGGTATTCATGAGGAAATTGCATTGATATTAATTGCCTCTAGGAAACACTGAAACGTATACCCGAAAGCAGACAAACCTTGCTCTTCTCGGCCACTTTACCGAAAATGCTTGTGGATTTTGCGAAAGCTGGACTATCGGATCCTATGCTGGGTGAGTAGTTTCTTCAGCTTATTTGGCTATAACTGTGTGGATCAGTAAGTTCCGTATCGTGTGGATTCGTGTTTAAGTTCGCCTCGATGTCGACGAGAAGATTTCGGATCGGCTTTCAATGGTGTTTGCAACCTGTAGAGCTGATGACAAACTAGAAGTATTGTTACACATATGCCGACAAATGGATGCGTTGAAAGCAAGCAAAACTTGTTGATGATTATGTGCAACGATGAAGCACGTTGAGTAAGTTCTTAAATATCGCAGGTTTTATTATTTTTTTGTGGCATTAGCAACGATGGGAGAGAAAAGGATAACAGTAAACTTCCGCAGTCCGAGGAACCGCTGCTACCGTAATCTGCGCGCTTTCTTTAGTTTCCCGAGTATGAGGTTCTCACAGTTTCCATTTTATACCACCTCCGGCTTGCACGCAATCTACGTTTCACCACATTGACGCACTCGCTTGGGTGCGCAACGCGACTTCGCGCGCGCATCCTGCGCAACGCGATTTCGCGGGCGCATCCTGAGCCCAAATAAGAGAGGGTCTCGTACAGCTTGGCTTACGGTAGCAGCGGTTCACCGGACTGCGAAGCTTCTTTGCGACAATCCCAGCTTGTCTGAACTGTTTGTGAACGAGCCTCAAGAAGGGAAAGAATCACTATCAGGGTTGGAAAAGCGGACAAACCACTCTGGTCTCATCGCGTGCCCTGTCCTCCAACCCCGAAATTACACCCCTTTCTTGTAATATAGATAGATGCCCAGGGTTTTCGCTTCGGATTTTCTCAACAGCTGTAGCCTCACTATAGGAAATCGTGACCAGTTCAGCCAGCTTGACTGGATGTTTTTCCAAGGCTTTCAAGCCTTTCTTCACAATAAATTTGTTGACTTACTATTCCGTTTTTAGGTATGTGGTAGGAATCATGAATCGGGCTGGTATCGATAATTCCTTCATATACAGTCAACTTGACGCCACGGCACGGAAACTGAATATTGCAAGGTAGTGCGTGCATAATTCTTTCAGCCTGAGATTATGCGCTCTGTTGTACATTACGTATCCTAGAGATGGGGAGGGCGTGGCTGCAAACTTCATTTGACGTGGTGGAGACTGTGCTTTTCGTGGGATGGTGCCGTATTTTTTGACAACTTGTAACTACGTCCTTGTCAAGCTCTAAACAGGATGACGTTGCCTCAGATAGAAATTCTCTCCGGAGAACGCTTACTTCGCCGTGTTCAAATAAAGTGCGCCGCTTTCCCGAGCCACGAAATATAGTGTGTGGGTCAGCGGCGTGATTACTTGACAGAATAACTCCCTGATCTTATTACTTTTTTATCCCGAACTTTTGTAGCGACCTGTAACATCGCTTCAGGTTCGCGGAAAGGAAAAACAATATTCTCATCGTTACTGATGTAGCTGCACGTGGTGTTGATATCCCTCTGCTCGATACAGTACGTTTGATGTAGTTGTTTTGCAACTTCTTTATTATTATGTTTACATTTCTTTAGGTGAT